GACGGAGAATCGCCTTGGACGTGCCCAAATCCTACAGCTCCTGAAGTTCTGTTTCAGGACGTACTTCACGTTTGACGGAACAATCTATGAGCAGATGAAGGGGACACCAATAGGTTCACCGATTTCGGGACTCATAGCCGAAAAAACACTTGCAAAGATAATGTCGTCCTTTTGTTCAAACGGCCTAAACATGCGAGGGGTTGACGTCGGCTCTGCCTTCCGTCCGTTAAAAACTCCGGGAATGCATTTGTGGAAACAGACTTTCGAAGGTCCATCTTAGGCCAATGAAACTGACGTGGTCAGGCAATAGTAAACAAGCAGTCGAAGCTCATGTCTGATTGGCTGTGAGCGGAAGGCATCGGGACGCATGATAGATAGTGCAGTACACTCGTATCATGTGTTTCTTCCTGATTATCTCTACTAAGATTTTGCTGTGAATATGCATAAAGCCGATTGATCGAATAAAAAGACACTGAAAATTATGGGGAATGAAAAGCCCTCAATAAGTAGTATGTCTCAAATATTTTTTCATTCACATAGGAATGACATTTTATCATTTATACTGATGAGAGGACAGAATACGGAGTTTATTTTGGCCTTGAAGCGTCGGTCTAAGTCCTTATGGGATGCTTACATGTAGGCAGTATATTGCCTATCGCATGAAATGTCACCCGAAATTGTGGTATGTGCTTTCGATTCGAAAACAATGACTTAAGTAGGATCCTAAGATTGATTATTATGCAACTTAACCCGAATATATTTCGGTCACGCCAGTATGCCGGCTTTGGAATGAGCTTCTTTCTGATCGTCTACAAAAAACTGAAATCTGTAAAAAATAGCAACTTAAGTATCGTGCATTCTTCTCACTGGTTTTCGATGCCCTTGGAAATTGAAATATACTTTACAGAATTCTTTTAATCACTTAGTGTCAAATTAAATCTTGAATTTTACCGTTTAAGAAAAGGTAGCTTTCTGTTTTAAACAAGTTTACTATCATGAGATTTGTTACAACCGTGAAATGTTCCTTCGCATCGCATAATATCCGTCAATTTATCAGTGCTACCTCTAAAGCATGCTACGTGATCCATGTTCATGGGAAAATTTTATAAGCACTCCTTAACCACTTCTTCCTTAAGTTGTGAAATGTTATTTTCGTAAGATATAGTGTATGTAGTATGTAGTTTGGGAAATTTGAACGCCAACAAGGTTTCAAATTATTCGACAACTTACAAACTTTTGTAAAACTACAAACACACTTTTTTATAGTCGACAATATGCGAGGCCCAGGTAATTTAATAGAAGGCGGGAAAACGCTCTCTGCGATCAATATTTTATTTTCCCGAAGTTTCGAACTCTCACACGAGCTCATTTTCAAGGAATAAAAATGTACAGCTCACCGTGTATTTAGTTCAAAGCTGCCGGGGAATGACCTTCAGCTCTGCTATCGATTTCTTTTCGCGCAACGCGAGATAGGCATGAGGAAGATCGATATGCCTGTTAATTGAATCCGCGTACGACTTTCATGCCTCCTGCAAAAGGCGTGAGATTCGGTCGTCCGACTGACCCAGTATTCGCACGTGTTCCGAAATCGAAGTCGTGCCCTGGTATGGATGCGTGAGCGGCTACCAAAGAAAGCTTGTCATTCCGTCGCACGGCGAGTTCGTGCTGGTGCATTCTCGTGAGAACCCGTTTGACGGTTTCACCAACATAATTGGTTATACCACAATGACAGTCGATGACACCAGAGTTTTGGTTAACGGGTACTGGGTCTTTAGGCCGCATAATTTGTCTGCGGATTGTTGCTTCCGGTCTATGAGCAACGCCAATCCCAAATTCGCTGACCAGTCGAGCGAATTCTTCGGATACATTAGCAAAATAAGGTTTTGCTCGCCAGTGTGTCGGTTCTGGCCGTCCCGTTTGTTATCATCGTTTGGCTCCTCGCCTGCACTTTTCGACGAATGCGCCAGGATAAACATTCGTTGTGAAAAGTTTTCGCAGATACTTGACCTCGGCCTTCTTGCCGGCTGGTTCACTGCAGTGGGTTTCTACGCGGCGTTATAGCGTTCGCACGCAACTGCGTTTGTGCGTGGTAGGATGGTTGCTGGGGTAACTCAGAATGCGCGAGGTATTCGTCGCCTTTCTGTAAACTGTTGTTTTGAGCTCCTCACCGCCTTTTCTGCACAACAGCACGTCGAGGAACGCCAACTGGCAGTATTTTTCTTCCTCCATCGTGAACTGGATGCCAGGGAATATGGAGTTCAGATCCTCTGTGAAATCCCCAATCCTGTCTCGACCGATGATGACAAACGTGTCATCGTCCTACCGGATCTACAGTCGTGGTCGATAGTGGTCTAAAGCCAGTGCTTCTAGTCGTTGTATTACTGCCGTAGCAATCAGGCCGGACAACAGCGACCCCATTGGTGTACCTCTTACTTGCTCTTACACGGTTCCATTGAAGGTGAAAAAGGTGCTCAGGCAGTGTTTCAGGAGCCTAATAAGATGATTTATTTTGAGCTTCGTGTCCGCCTCATTGTACTGTCCTTCTTACAGGGTTTGAATTGTTTCCACTGCAAGATGTTGCGGTATCGAGGGGAAAAGTGAGGTCAGACCGAAGAGTACCATCACTTCGTCATGTTTTAGTCGAATACCTTGCAGCTTTTGTATGAATTGTTCAGCTGACTTAACGGTCGTTGCAGAGCCCTCTGTTAGAAATGTGAGACGTTAAAACATCCACTTTGCCAGGCCAAACGTTGGGGTGCCTCTGAGGGAAACGATTGGTTGTCGGGGGGTTCCTGGTTTGTGGGCCTTGGGGAGGCCATAGAATCTTGCGAGTGCTGCATCCTTTAGCTTCATCTTTTTCCAGTCGATCTGTGCTATTGCCTTTGACTTTCCATGACTTGCCAGGTCCTTGTTGATGCTGTTGACCAGCGTCTTCATTGGGTCATCCTCCCGAGGGATTTAGGCGTTTCTATCGCCCAAAAGTATCTCAAATTTGTTGACGTAGTCCTCTTTGTTAAGAATAACTGTCAACCGTCCTTTTTCGGCTGGAAGAATGACAATGGTTTTGTCGGCATTGGCACTGGCATTGCTCACATACCGGAAGCAACAATCAGCAGACAGCCTATGCGGCCTAAAGACCCAGTACCCGTTAACCAAAACTCCGGTGTCATCGACTGTCATTGTGGTATAACCAATTATGTTGGTGAAACCGTCAAACGGGTTCTCACGAGAATGCACCAGCACGAACTCGCCGTGCGACGGAATGACAAGCTTTCTTTGGTAGCCGCTCACGCATCCATACCAGGGCACGACTTCGATTTCGGAACACGTGCGAATACTGGGTCAGTCGGACGACCGAATCTCACGTCTTTTGCAGGAGGCATGGCGCCTTCTTTATATATAACTTTTGGAGGAGGCGTAATTTGCAAGCAAACCATTACATGAAATAATATTTTCGTGCATGAATTCTATAAAATATACCTTATTTTCTAAGGACATCAAAATGAGTTTGAGTTTCGCAGGCAGTCAGAATAAAGCTCATTCAAAAGTAGGCATTCTAGCATTACTGAGATATTTTTGGGTTAATTTGCATGGTAATCAATCTTTGAACCCTGCTTAACGCATTTATTCGCATCGAAAACATATTCCAAAATTTTGGGTGATATTTTCACGAACTGGGCGATCTGCTGTACATGCCGACGGCCGACGCATAATCAAGAGTTCTCACTGATACCGATAAAGCCAATTGTGTTATATTAAAGAAGAACTTGCTATGAGTCACTGAACAACATGCAGTCCGGAAAATCTAAAGGGCAGTACTGCGTTATTAGTATGACGCTCCTATCTCATGTATACTTCCTCCCACGAGCGACAGTTTTTCTCCTTAAAATCCCCAAATCATAGTTGAAACCTCTATAGCTTCCGAAGACTGCGCAAGGATTTTTTCACTTTCTGCCCTTTTTGACTCTCCCCCATCTAATCGCTCGTGTCATTGTCGTCGCCCATGAGCCGAGATACTATGTGATTATATTACTTGAAAGTAGTGAGTAGCAATGTATACCTAATAGTTATCACTAGCTGACGGCTGCTAACGTTTTGCCTGCAATCCTGTGAACAACCACTGTTTGAATGTTTCTACTGTATCGATACATTTCTCAGTCACTAGGTCACCAATAGGGAGCTCAAAGGTGTTTGCCTATCTTTCCCTCAATGAGGCTGAACTGAACTGAAGGACTGCTAAACGAAAAGAAGGCAGACACATATGTAACTTGATTCTAAATTCGACAAGTATGGAGTCCACAAAGTCCACTTACATAGAAACACACCAACGATCGACGATCCTTAGAAAATATGCGAAGATTAATAAAATGGGATCAAAAGCAGCGTAAAAAGCGCCAACAGAATCCCATGTGTTTGTCTACCAATCCTGGAGACTCAAGTGAAGGCGAACCGTGTAACTAATAATGTCCCAAGGCATGTGCGATAGTTGAGTTAAGGTGCACAGTCAACTATCACAACCTTAAGCAATTCATGGACTAAATTGGACGACATGAATCTATTAGGAGTCATCGAGAGCTATTCCACCGAACGGAGTGGCTGAAGAAGACTCCAAACATCTAAAATGATGCCCGTGTCAACCGTTATGTTCAGTTTGTGAGAACACTGTGAATGCAGCAATATGGATAGTGCCAGAGTCAGCGTTTCAATCTGCAATAAATACAGGAAGGCCGAATGAAGCCATCTGATATTGCCCTGATAAATCGCACGGTTCTTTATAAAGCTTCTCACATCCTTGTCTTAGCGTAACCAGCGCCTGTGTCACGCAATTAGCTGCCTTTAAGCACTCTGAACAATAAGTTTATTGTCAATGCAAGAGAACACGTGTGTCCCAGGAAGTAATTAAGAAGAAGATACGATCTCCGGCACAAGACACTTATTCGCCTGAGGTTTCGAAGCCTTTCGCGGATTCTTTACCAGAAACGTTAACATAAACAGTAGCAGAAACAGATTAGTTATGCACAGGAAGTTGCAGTATTTAAAGGCTACAGTTACTATGATACAGCACAATTATGAAAATTACCAACGCCCCTATTGAGGAAAATTGCCCACTCGTGCGCTAATTGCTTGATGACATACGTGCGGGCCGTGATCTGCTGAACTTTCATCACATTTGGTGGAAATGGACGTGGTGATTGCTCGGCCATCTGGTTCCCCGGCGTTAGCGTTAGATGACGCGTTAGGCTGTGCGTTCCTCAAGTGGCGACCGGCTTTGGCCAAATTAACCCTCAGCACCGAATATGGATTTGGCAGTTTGTTGCACTTGTTGCTAGACTGGGGGTCCGTGAACTATGACTCAAGTAATTCGTGACTTACACTATTGTCACCTCTCACGCGGATTTCGGCCACATCAAATTTGAG